CACCAGCAGCAGGCTGTGATGTCCAGCATGATGGCGCGGAACGGGGCCGGCGTCTTCCCACCGCGAAGACATGGCCAGACTGACGGAGATCTCCGTAAAGAACTCAATGCGCGCAATGCGCCGCGCGACTCCACGATTCTCACACAGACTGAGCTGGACATTATCCGCAGCATGGTTGCCGGCAAGACGGTCATGACGGTGCTCGCGCAAAGCACTTTGCGTGGTCGTACTGCCGCCGCAGAGGAGCGCAAGCGGCGCATGCAGGAGTACGACAACGAGCGGCGGCTGCGCGGCGCCGACGACGACAGGTCGCTGGAGGACATTGAGGAGGAACAGCAGCGTCGCCTCAATCTAGAGCGTGCCAAAACGCTCATTGATGAACAGTTCGATGAAGTCAAGGCGATGAACCAGGTTGTGACGGAGGTGAAGTGCATCGCCGTCCGCGACGCACAGATCATGGAGAAGAAGCGCCGCGAGGAGGAGGAGCGGAGTCACGAGCGGCAGATGGATGAGATGATGGAATTAGAGGCCAAGAAGGCACAACAAATATACGAGGAGCGTGAGCGGCAGCAGGTGGAAGGGCGCAAGAAGAACCTCGCTGTGATCAAGGCGCAGCTGGCGGACCGCGAGCTGGACCGCATCCGTAAGCTGGAGGTGCAGCAGCAGGAGCAGGAGGCGATGGTGCGCCACATTGAGCACCTGCGCGAAGAGGAAGCGGCCGACAAGTTGCGCCGCCAGGAGGCCGCACGTCGCCTCATGGAGGATGCAGCGCTGGCGAATGCCGACCAAATTAAACTCAAGAAGCGCCAGCAGAACCTGGAGCTCGAGGAGGACCGCCGCATCATGGAGTACGTCCAGCAGAAACAAGAGCGTGAGCGGCTGCTTGCAGAAGAGCAACAGCGCATCCGCGACGAGAAGGAGCGTGAGGTCGCCAGGCTTCGGGCGCAGCAGCAGCGCGTGCAGGATAAGCAGGTGGAACTCGATGAGATTCGTGCCCGGCGTATACAGGAGGCGCACACACGTGAGCTGCGCCGAAAGGAAAAGGAGCGGAAGGAACACGAGCGCGCGGCACTCGATGACTTGGCGCGTGTGCGGCTGCAGCAGATGGAGGAGCGCATGCGCATCAAAGAGGAACAACGCCAACAGGAACACGAGGAGCTCGAGCACGTCGTCGCTGTTCAGAAGTTGGCAATCGAGCAGGAACGCGAGCGCAAGGCACGCGCCCGGCAGCAGCACGAGGAGAACTCGCTGGCGGTACTGAAGCAGATCATGGAGGTGGAGGAGCGCCGCCGCCGCGAGCAGCAGGAGTACGTGGCGGAGGGCAACGAAGTGATGATGCAGATGCGCGAGCGCGAGGCCGCCATCGAGGCCATCCGGCAGCGCAAGCTGAAGGAATTAGAGGAACTTGGCATCCCCGACGAGTATTGCCAGGCTCTGAAAAAGATGAAGCCGAAAGGTCCTCTGTAGCCGATCGATGAAACGAACAATCGACTTACCCATGTTGCCTGCCGTCTGATTTTCCCCAAATTTATTGGCCCCCCCCCCCATGTTTGTTGTTTGCCGTCTCATTGTCGTTGTTCGACAACGGGGGTGGGTGGGTGTGGGTGCGTCTGTTTATGTTTGTTTTAACCGGCTCCATGACGACGGATGAGTTTATGTATTGAAAGGCCGATGTAGGACTTACACGCCCCCTTTCCATGTCTCTTTCTCTCTCTGTGTGTCATTTTGTTTTCACCGGGTGCTGGTGTTTCTGCAGGTGGCGTACGCGGAGGGAAAAATAAAACAAAGTTCTTCATTCCTCTGTGAAGCCCCGATGTTGTCTTTCTTTCTGTTATTGCTGTTCACTGATACGTAGTGGTTGCGCTACCGTCAATAGAGTAAGGGGCCTTCAAGGAAGACGAAGGGAAGTCCATATTTGCAATGGGCAACCGACAACCCGTGGAGCGTCACGTCGCGCATCCCAAGTGCTTCTACCTTGTAGTAGGCGGGCCGCCTATTCGTTACGTCGGTGCCAACGCTTCGCGGGGCCCGCTTATATTCGACGTGGAGACGGAGGCGATCAGTGACGAGAACGCTGTCGAGCATGCAGAGACGGTGAATCTGCAGGTGGCCATACCGTCGAAGCAGATGTTCAAGCTTGTACCGGTAAATGTGGCCAACAAAAAATCTGGATTCTTGCTTTCCTTCAGTGTCTCCATTGTAGAACCGGGGCAGACCTTGCGTGTGCTCGCCGGCGTGGATATTGACTACCGTCCGGGCGAGGGCGTGATGTTGATGCAGGCGGAGCGAAGTCAGAACCCGTTCTGCGTATACGAAGCCGCGTCATCGGGGGATTTTGGCGAGGAGGTTGTTGTGGATGAGGTACTGTACCTGCAGAAACTCAAGAAGGCCGTCTTCACGGAGGGTGCGGAAGGGAAACGGCTCACATATGCGCCTATCGCCATTGAGCTCACATTCGAGACGCCCACGGGGACCGCCTCCACGACGGAGAATTCTACTGCCGCTGCTGAGATGGCGGCGGGTGAGGAGAGGCGGGAAGGTAGTGCAAAAATGATGGAGGATAGCAACCTCGCGTCGTCGTCAGAGATAATGCGGGTGGTGCAGTACACATTTCTAGACATCCCTGACGCCGCACATGATCGGGCGACGCTCACCTCGCTGCTGCATGAGGGGGCGGGCGAGGGGGGGGAACGGCCTGTGTGCGAGGCAAAAGTTGTGCGGCAGCTGCTTCAGTACGGGACGGAAGTGTACGAACTCGACGACGTCTTCGACCTTGGCGCCTGTGACGATCTTAGTGGCTCCAATGCTGAGAGTGAAGATGATGCGGGGCTCTGCGTTGTATGCTTGACAAATGCAAAGGACACAACACTTCTGCCCTGCCGCCACATGTGTCTCTGCTACGAGTGTGCCAGCGTACTCCGTTTCCAGCAAAGCAACCGATGCCCTATTTGTCGTGCCAGTATTGAGCGTGTCATGACAATATAGGGGACCCAAAGTGGCGGACGAGAGCAGCCATTCATCTTCAAGAGGCAATCATTTGATGCTGTGAAATTGTGTGTTTAGTGCTTGCTTGATATTTGTTTCCCCTCACCCCCATTCATCTACAACATTAGTCTGATTCTCGTTCTGTGTGTGTGTGTGTGCTGTGCGTGCGTGCGTGTTTGCCTCTGGAGCGATGCTGCTGGTCGGTTTTGCCTGGCTTTTTTTTTCGAATTGCTGCTGTTCCACCCTCATTTTTTTACCATGTGGCTTCCGGTGTGGTTAGGAAATGCGGGGGAACGTGCCTACAGTAGCAGGAGGGTGCGAGACGCCGCTTGGAGGAGGGGACGATGCGGGCCCCAACAGCAACGACAAGGGCATCGCAGCAGAAGCAGCTCCGCGGCCATCGAGACGCGCGTTGCACCGTCACACCGTCAAAAAGTTTATGGAGCGTCGGAAGAACGAGGAGCGTAGGCGATTGGCGGAAGAGAGGGACGGGAAGCTGCTGCATTTCAACAGCAGTACCACCAGCAGAAGCAACAGCAGCAGTAGCTCTGAGTCGCGCGGCTCGGAGCTCTCCCGTGGGGGTGCCACGGCGAAGCCCGTGTTGGTTGCGCGGTGGGACTTCGACTTCTTCTTCCGAACGATGCCATCAGAGTTTCTGCAGACAAGCGGAGAGGCTTCGGGCGCCGACGCAACGTCGATCCCGCCTTCCGCCACGCTGTACGACGAGCAGGAGCAGTCACTGGTGCTCCTTGGTGACGCCCACCAGCGGCCGGCGCGGGGGTCTGTCCCTGTAAAGGCAATGATGCAGAGCAGCATCACAAGAAGTATCCACGTCCGGCGTGTGGAGGGCGTGCCGCCGCTGCCGATGGCGGCGCCGATGCCGCCGGGCACCGACCTCGACGTGCCGACGCGGAACTACCTGATGCCTGACGCCACATACTACGTTCACCAGCACGCACTTGGATTCGAGCGGGACGAGAACGTGGCGAAGCGGTCGATGCTCGCCTGTGCCGTGCGGGAGTGGCGAGGTGGGGATAACAACGTCCTCGTTCTTTCCACAGGAGATGCGCTGCGTAGCGTCTTTGAGGCGACCTACAGCGACGCCAAACCGCTTGCGCTGGAAGTAAGGCGCGTCGGACCGATACTGCTGATTGACTCCCACAGCGAGCGGGATTACCGTGTACGGGTGAGGGACTTGCGTGGGAAGGCGTTGTTGGGCAAGGCGCTCTACCGCATCCAAGATGGATCCTTTTCGTGCATAGGCAAGGATGACGACATCGACAACAACCATAATAACAACGGCAACAGTGGTTGCGGCGGCGGCAACAGCGGCGGCAGCAGCAGCAGTAGTAGTAGTAGTAGTAATAGTAGTAACACTCAGAATCCTGGCACTAAGAGCACGGGCAAGAAGAGTGGTGTTGTGGCGCTGCCGACGCACCGCGTGGGGTCTGCCGCTTTGTCGAAAGAAATACGTTCGCTGAGCCGCTACGCACACATCTTTCGCTGGGAGATTGGTTCGATGGATGTGTTGGTTGGTCTCGACACACCCATCGTGCTTGACTCCAGGGACGACGTAGAGTACGTGCTGAAGCTGGAGGATACCTCTGTCGAAATGACGCCCCATGAGGCGCAGCAAGACGCTCTGCGCTGCTGGTTTGACGCCACTCTCGCGAACGTGCCACAGGTTGGCATCTTCGTGCACAACGATGGCGTGATTCAACGGTACGAAGTGAAGAAGGTGCAGGAGATGCTTGGCATTGTGGAGGGCAGCTTGGCGACGGCAGCCATGAACTTCACAACCAATGTGCTTCAATGGTTGGTGTCTCAGTGCGTGAAGGATGGCATGACGTACGCAGTGATACGCAACTATGAGACGGGCGTTCTTGAGATTTACGAGTATTCCAATGATGAACGCCTCGAGAAGTTCCTCCCGGAGGACGGCAAGAAAGATAGTGGCAGTGGTGCCGAGACGCTGAAGGCGGAGGAGCAGCGGCGAGCTGAAGAGAGCGAGCGGCTCAACTGGGGTTTGGCGACCATGTGCTTCCGCATGGGCATGCACCTAAAGGACTCAGAGGCGAAGGCACCCGACGCACTCTCGTTGCTGCTGCGAAGCTTCTCCGTCTACTTCCAGCATCGCACGCGGATGGATGAGGCCTGTCAACGTGTGTGCGACATCGTCAAATGCCTTCCCGGTCTTGTGGGCCGCCTGATCGACAACAGGAAGGCCGCTCTGGAAGAAGAGGGCGGCATTATTCAACTTCCAGAGATCTACCGTGAGGCCTTCTTGACTTGTGGCCGCTTTGAGGTGCGCCTGCAGGGGGCTGCGTGCGATGAGACGCTCCGGCTCCCCACGCGCCGGACCTTCTTGCAGTGCTTGCTACCATGCAGCGCTGCGTTGTGTTTGTGTGTTGCCCGCACAATTGAGCAGTTCTGCGCGGAGCGGCGCGTGTATCTGCGACTGCGAGCGGAAAGCGGTACCAGCAGCAATGTCCACATTCACAGCCTCATCGCGAAGGACCTCCTCCAGGTTGTGGTGGAGGGACTGCTACGGCTAGAGCAGATGAACCGTATGCTGAAGAGTGACACGGTGTTGACGCAGTGTATGCGCGTAGGGTCGAAGGTGGAGCGCATGGCGCTGATTGACACCAAGACGGAGATCCTCGACGTGGCGCCACTTGAAACGGCTTTGTGGGAACTCTACTCGGATGTTGTTCTCCTTGTTATGAGCGATCGGACGCCATTTACGGCGCAGGTATTGGTGGAACTTAGCCGCCGCATTAAGGCCCGCGAGGAGAAGCGCAATAGTAGTGGCAGTGGTTCTACCACAGGACCAGCAGCAGAGGCGCCTAGTGAGACGACGCTGACATGGTTGTCTGCCATCACGCCCGACGTCGTGACGCTTTCCTTTACTGCGCTGCGCTTCCTCACGAAGGTGGGGCTCGAGTCTAAGCGTCTGCTTTCCAAGACAGCACAGGTCTACTATCACGTCGGACATCACTACCTCCTTACGGACCGCTACACCAAGGCCCTCGAGTCGCTGCACCGCGCACAGTCACTCTTCAAGGCAATGCAGCAGGCGCCGGCCGATGATGTCTTCGGTGGCTGCTGTACCTCTTCCGCAACTGTGACGATAAAAGATGTGCAGTTCTCGTTGGGTGAAGTGTACATCCGCATGGCACGCCTCAAGTCACGCCTCGCGCCGGCAGAGGTGCGGCTCAGTTTGCAGCAGCCGCTCGCGATGGGCGAGACGCAGACGCTTTCGTCGGAGGAGGAAACGTTCTACCGCCACGCCGTTGACCACTTTACCAATTGTGAGGCGCACGATCAGCTCGCCGCCGCCCTTCGCGTATACGCTACCCGGCAGATTGCGCACATTGCCAGCAGCGGCCAGCAAGCAGACGTGGCAAAAGGCCGCCACATCTATTCAATGCTGCGCCGGGCCAGCGAGCTTGCCGCCGGCGACGCGGCGCTCGACTGGGAGGTGCTGCGGCTATCAACATGTTCGATGCACCACGCAGCGCTGCAGCGGCGGGCAGAAGAGATTGCGGCGCAATGGGGCCGCATGACGGTGGACATGGCGGTAGTGCCGCACGAGTTAATTGCGACGGTGCACCCGCTAGAGTTTGCGCTGCAGATGGGGCTTGTGTCGGTCTCGTTGCTGGAGGCAAAGAAAAAAATCAAAACACATCAGGCGACGGGTCTTATGCGTGGATGCGCGGCGCACCTCATCATTGCGCTTAACGGTGCTCACGCGGCGAGTAAAACCCCAAGTGTGCTGCTGTCACGCGCTGCCGCCTGCTGGAAGGCGGAATGCGTGCATGAATGGGTATACCGCGTCGCTCTGATGATGTCCGTTCGAGCCATGCGGTTGATGGTGCGGCATCTGCCGGGCGACAAGGCGGCGGAGGCGAAGCAGTTGCTGCAGCGGCTGGTTGGCATGGAGGAGGGGGAGGTGCGCAACATCCGAGCGAAGGATAAGTCGTGTGGTGGCAAATGCCATTTTTGGAGACTCTCCAGGGTACTTGTGGAAGCCTTTGATGATGTCTTGAAATGGTGATAACAATGATTTGATTTGCTGGTGTGCTGCTCAGGTCAAGGTGCGCCTCCATCTCCCCCCACGTGGCCTTTGGGCGTGGCCGTAATAAGTAATGAAAAATACGGTGGGGAAGGGATGTTGCTTTGCCCTCCTCTCCATATTTATCTTGTGTGTCTGTGGGACTACTCTGTGTGTGCTGTGCTATGTCCCCTCTTTCTGCCAATTTGTTTTTCTTCGTTGGTCGCTCACACCCCCATTCACTCACCGGTGTAATTGGAATAATATGTGCGCTGCGCAGCAAAGAGTGGTATACCGGAGGGAGCGATGCGGCGTGCCTGCCGCCGTCTCTTCCTGCAGGGCGAGCCGCGAGAGAGTTGCGCAGCGGCGCTACACTGCAGCATGGCAGCCATCTCCACCGGTGTCTTCGATCACCCCTCTTTTGAGTGCCGGCAGAAGCACAGCTTTAACACACTGCCGCTGCACGACGCGAACCGCTTTGGTGGCCGCACGGCGTACCTCCGCGAAATTGGGCCGGTCAACCAAAAGAAACAAGGGCGACGCTTCAAGAAGGACATGCGCACTGTACAATTTAATGTGGATGTGTGGTGTGCGCAGCAGACGCTGCGTAAAAAGTGGAAACAACGGGACTGGGAAGTAGTGGAGGTGCCGTTCCGACTCTCTCCAAAGGAACAGCAGCGTGTGGTGCCGGAGTTATACACTGACGTGCCGCAAATGACAGATCCGGCGCATAATGACTTTAGCAACATCCACAGCAAAGTGTACGACCGTGAGGAGCTGCAGGCCGACCTCTTCGGCGCGGCGGGGCCGCTGCCGTACCCACCTCTGCAGCGTGTTGACAAGCAGGCTATGACGTTGGACAAGTTCTTGTAGGGGAGTCGATGCAGCATAGGACATGCCTGCAGCAATATTCATTTATGCGTATGTCTCTGTCTGCCTGGCTGTCTGTTTGTTTGTCTGACTGGCCAAGTGTGCTTCATTATTGGCTCGTCTATTCACTTCTCTCGGTGTGATTGATGCTAAAAAAATTGCCCGACTCTCTTCTTGCCT